GATACATATATACATATACATATATACATACATACATACATATATATATACATATATACATACATACATACATATATATATACATATATACATACATACATACATATATATATACATATATACATACATACATATACATATATATACATACATACATACATAGGTGTATTTTGTGGCAAAACAGTTTAATTCAAAAATGAAAATAACAAAAACTTACTGTATAAATGAGCAGGTAGGAATAAAGCATGAACTGGAATCAACCAGAAACCAGAATCTAGGAACAAAAACAAGGAACATGTGGCATGGTCGACTACAGAGAAAACCCCAGCATGGCCACAGACCAATGACCCCAACCAAGAGTGCGGGACATAGGTGTATATATACCCAGGGCACCAGGTGACCAGTGAGACTAATGACAGAGACACAGGTGAGGGTGATAACACTGTTTTTCAGTGTGACAGTTATAAAGCCTCAAAGGTTGGAAATTTAAAGATGTCAGACTTTGAAGGCCTGAGAATTGTTTTCAATATCAATTAATATAATATTAATATAATGTATTCAGATTACGTCACGGTGGCCCTTAAATAATATCTGGATCTTTTCATGGACACACAAAGTCAGACATAGTCAGCATAGTGAAAAAAAAATACACATTCCCTGTATCATTCATGTAGCTGATGATATACTGATGATACACACATATATATATTAAAAAACCCACATACATCGCCACATAAAAATGTTTTTAATTAATTAATTAATCAATTAATTTTTTGTTTGTTTGATTAAGTCCCCCGTCCCCATTTATTTATTGGTAGTAAACAAAGCTCCAGAAAGAACCAAAAACGTGTTTACTTCCGGTACTGCGTGTCTAACAGACATAACGTTGGTGATTCTTTTCATTGTCAATATTAATATATTAATATATTAATATCATATAAAACATAAGAGAAGCGGATGCTATCTCACGCTAACTAACTATTATCTAACTACTAATGTTAAACAGGTAAGTTGTAGTTTGTGAGTCTCCTTTTTGCGAGACCAATGGTGCAAAAAATGACATAGCTCCGTACTGTTAGTACTCCATTTATCACACTGTATTAACGACTAATAAGTAATGCACGAGAGATGACACTTGGCCTGTGTCTGTAAAGTCACTCAGTGACACAGAGAGAGAGGACGACTAAGAGCACCTTATTAAGACAAAACGGCAGCAGAAACCGATGTGATAATAAAAAAAAAAAGAGAAGCGGAAGTTGACCAGCAGTCAAAGTCACCGCTTCCTGTTAGTGTAAGCGGGCGTAGACTGATAGGGAAATAAAGAGAGTCACACATGGATGGGTGTGTAGGGGCAAACAGAGCGGGTGCAGGTTGTTGACAGTCAGTAAAAGAGTTGCAACTGAGAGCAGCAGAATAATGGAGCCGCAGGAGATTAGAGAGGGATACTTGGTGAAAAAGGTAGGGAAATATACAGAAATACATTATTAAACACAAAATGAGTTGAGTACTACGAGAATTAGGGACATATTAAGGATAAAAAATATATTTAAAATAACTGCAATTAAGTATTTAGTCGTAGGGTTACGAGAAGAAAGTCGAAACGTTACGAGAAAAACGCTGTACGTTTACGAGACTAAAGTCGAAAATGTATTAAATAATGTCGTAACACTAGTATAAATGTAAAAAAACCAATAAACTCAATACTGAAGTATAAATTCTGTAAACCGTGTGCTTTTCTCACGTCTCCCCCAAAACACATTATCTAAACTTTTAACGATTTTTATCTCATAATACATTTTTTTCCTATAAACGGAACGACTTTATAAATTGAATCGTGTGATTTTATTTTTCAGACTCAATGTGACCCAAATACTGCGATGTTTATAATCAAAAACACTTTTTTTATCGGAACAATTACAGACAATACAATTAAAAATATCAGCGTTATCTCGTGATCTGACTCAAACTCACCAGTGTACAATGTGGTGTTCGTTTTGAAACCATGTTAGATAATAAAGGGGGGGTATGACAGTTAGAGTTGTCAACGCTCACGCAACTATAAATACGCAACTATTTTTGACCAAAACCTAACGTTTACTTCTGCTTTTAGTTCAGTTTGCATCCTCACCACAAGCAAACTTCTTGGTTACACATTTCCAATAATGTTAGTCTATTTCTAGGCCACTGTTCGTTGGTACACAATTTTAGTTTTAAATTAAGGTTCACACAAGCCTGTACTTTTTTTTTTGTACCTTTAAATGCGTTTTAAAGCAGCAGCGATTGAAGGCGCTTATGTCTGATAAGGAGTGCTCGAGGAGAAGCGAAGCTCCACAGTGCCTCCCACTGGCAACTCTGATATTTTGAACCCGAGGCACATATAATGGTTTTAAGATGTGGTCATTTTTACCACTACAGGATCATATAGACAAACATGTCCACCACAAATATGACTCATTTCATTAAATAAATAATACAATTTAAACTGACTGAAATAACTTTTGCTAAGATGCTGTAGCTGTAGCCTGCTACTGATTGGTCTGTCTTACCAATGCACAGGGCTCAATGCTGAACTCCTGGAAAGCAGTCTGGGTGGTGTTGTCAGATGATGCCATTGAATTCTATAAAAAGAAAACGGACCGTTCACCGAAAGGAATGATTCCACTCAAGGGCTCCACACTTGTGAGTCCCTGCCAGGATTTTCCCAAAAGAACGGTAGGATTTTCTAAATTTTTTTTTTCGAATCCTTCCTTCCAAGTATAGTAAAGTAGTGTGTAGTAATGTTGACTCACATCATTAGTGTTTCAAAAGCTTACGGAAAGTCTGAAACGATCACTCCTACATTGTGGTAGCAGCAGTTTCAGTTCCATTCACAAGTTTCTGAAAGTGTCGTTGACGTTTCTCGCTTCTTGGTGCGCTGACTATTATCGCTGGTGTAGTTGGTTTTCAAGCTCACCACCGAGAAGAAGCACGATCACTTCTTCCAAGCCTCACATGTGGAGGAGAGAGAGTGTTGGGTCAAGGACATCAAGAGAGCCATCGCCTGCCTTCAGGGAGGGAAACAGGAAGTCCACCAGGCGTTCCATTCGCCTGGCTGAAACCATAAACCTGACGTACGTCGCGTGTTTTTTTGGTTTTTTTAATCATGGTAAAAATGTATTAATAATCACAATTAATGTACTCAGTGGTATTCGGAGCAGAACTCCGAACTGACCCTGGGTCTGAATGATGTAACTCTCTCTATGGCCCTGTGATAGATGGGGAAGCTGTCCAGGGTTTGCTCTGCAGTTCGCCCACTGTCAGTTGATAAAGCGAACATCATTTATTTTTTTTTTGACCTAGCAGATGATGAGTTGATGATTAAACACATAAATCTTACTGCACTGAATCCCAGGGAACTGTACACACTAATGAGGGATCAAGACGACGGCGTTAAAGAACTGAAAGTCAGGCAGGAGAATCGGATTTTCAACTATTGCTTCAGTGGTACTGCGCTCTTCTTCTTCTTCTTTTTTTTTATTTCGGTACTGCGCTCTTCTTCTTCTTTTTTTTAATTTTTTTTTATCTATATCGCATGTGTTTTCCCGCAGCCTCCTGTAATGGTCTGTCATTTCTCACTAAGGCGCAACAGTGGCAGAGTGGCTGGTTTCAAAGGAGAAAGCAAGAAACCGGCCTGAGGCCCTGGTGTTAGCAGCAGGACTCCTAAATGAGGGTTTCCTTCTACCTACGGGCGACCTGGCAAAGGATGCAGCAGAGTCTGCAGATCAAACTGTTTTCTCAGACGACCCGGACGCTCTTTACTACTTTGTAAGTTCAGATGAGGGCCAGAACCGTTTGTCTTCAACAGACCAGACAAATCACAAAAGTATTTTTCTACATATCCTTGACTGGTTTTTAAACACTTCTGTTAGCAGTTTCCATTGGATCATTCATTTTTTTATAATACTGCCTAAGGTCGTGACCTGCTTCTCTGCTGATAAGGATTAAGAATTGAGTTCCTTCAGACTTTGACTTGTGAAAAAAAAAAACCCAGCTTAAGATAGATCAATTATGTTGAATTTCAGAAAGGTGGTTCCTTTAGCGCAGCGGTTAGCATGCCTGCCTTGAAACAGGAAAACAGGGTGGGTTTGATTCCCAGAGGAACCACATACTTTGGCGCCTCCTAGGGGCAGCCTGCTGCAGCAGCTCTGCTTTAACACAAGGATTTCCCTGATGTGGGATCAATACATTTAATAGTAGTTAAAGTTAAAAGTTAAGTACATTTTTTTAATATATTTTAGTAGTTGCAAACTTATGATCATTTAAACACAATTTAACACGGGGGTGTCAAACTAATGTTTGGTTCATGGGCCGCGTATATCCTAATGAGATAATTAACTATAAATAACAAGGCCTTGGTTTTCACAGCACTGGATCCAACATGTTTTGTGTTACTGTGCGACAGGCAGACTCTGGGTTTTTCTGCGAGGGAAACTCCAGTGATGAAGACGTGCTTTTGAAGGAAGAATTTCGAGGAAATATCATGAAACAGGGCTGTTTGCTCAAACAGGTCAGTGTCCAAACATGACTTTTACAGATTTACAAGTTCTATAATGCCGAACTGTGCACTCTGGTAAGACACTGGTTCTCAAACTCCCACTTTTCATCCGTGACCCACCCACATCTGGTCCGTGACTTTACCACTTTTCATCTGTGACCCACCCACATCTGGTCCGTGACTAGATGTCATGGATGGAATTTAGCCATCGCTTTTATTTCTTAGCCCTCCAATGGTTCCCAGGTATCAAATCGAGCCACTCCTATTTGAAACCCTTGGATTAGCTGCTGAAAAACCTGATCCTAAAATGGCATGTTTTTTAGTTTTTGTACTGCCCAAATTCACACAAAAAAAAACATTTTACCTTATAAGACATTATCTTTTTTTTTTTACATTAAACATTTAAAATAAAGTCAAGGTTACATTATACACATTTAACAAAATAAAGTAGACCTAAATACAGTAAAGCCTTTTTATCAGTAGTAGTAGCCACAAGCTAATTTAACCAAACTAGCTTTAAATAAACATTAGCTAATGTTTGTTTTTGTTTAATGCTATTTTTATACTTGTATATACACAGGGACACAGGAGGAAAAACTGGAAGGTGCGAAAGTTCATACTGAGAGATAGCCCTGCTTATATGCATTACTATGACCCCACAAAGGTAAAGAAGAACTCCAACAGATTCCTAAGCCCCGGTAGCTACAGTCCTAAAGTCTAACGCTATGTCTGTCTGTATGCGTCAGGGTGATGAACCTCTGGGTTCCATCTATCTCCGAGGCTGTGTGGTGACCGCTGTGGAGTTTGTTCCCGACGGTGAGTGACAATTACAAATATCATTTGATGTCAAGCTTTGGAATTCAGTCCCCAGCTGAGAACCAAGATGATACAT